TTCCATGATGAGTCGAGCTTTGCTACCAATCTCATTTTGGGGGTATGCCTTATAGACTGCCGCCCATATCCTTAATCTAGTCCCTACCAAAAAGGTTTCCAAAACACCTCACGAGATGTGGACTGGAAAAGTTCCCAATCTAGATCACATCAAGATTTGGGGCTGCGAGGCTTTTGTGAGGCGCGAGACTCTCGATAAGCTCGAACCTCGAAGTGAGAGGTGTATTTTCATCGGCTACCCACAAAGATCCTTTGGTTACCTCTTCTACAGACCCAGTGATAATGTGGTCTTTGTAGCAAGGAGAGGAGTCTTTCGCGAGAAAGAGTTCATGAGCCAAGGAAACAGTGGGAGGCAAATTGACCTTGAAGAAATTCAAGAGTCAAGTGGTGAACGAACCTCAAACCCTAGCAATAAACCTGAGGAGAAAACTCATGTTGATCCGACATATGAGTCTGTACCTCTGAGGCGTTCCACGAGAGTTAGGAATACACCTGAGCATTACTATGGTTTCCATATTACTGCGGAAGGTGATACACTTATCAGTGATAGCACACTGGTAAGTTTGGATGAACCTAACAGCTACACGGAAGCCATAGCAGACCCTGAGGCTGCTAAATGGAAAGAGGCTATAGACAGCGAGATACAGTCCATGTATGACAATCAAGTTTAAAACTTGGTTGACAATGTACCAGGTCCTAAGACAGTCGGATGCAAATGGATCTTCAAGAAGAAGACCGATATGGATGGTAATGTACACACTTATAAGGCGCGACTGGTTGCAAAGGGCTTTTCTCAAACTCCGGGAGTTGATTATGATGAGACCTTTTCACCAGTAGCAAAGATTAAGTCTATTAGGGTTATGCTAGCCATTGCTGCATTTCATGACTATGAAATATGGCAAATGGATGTCAAAACCGCTTTCCTTAATGGAAAGTTGGCTGAGGATGTTTACATGAGTGAGCCAGAGGGTTTTGTCAGTGCAGAGTACCCTAATAGGGTGTGTAAGCTTGAGAAATCCATCTATGGATTGAAACACACACCTCGCAGATGGAATATTTGTTTCGATGAGAAAGTCAAAGAGTTTGGCTTTTCGAGGAGCGAAGATGAGTCCTGTGTATATGTCAAGGCTAGTGGGAGTATAGTTAACTTTTCGAGGAGCGAAGATAAGTCATGTGTATATGATCGGGCATGGAAATTTAAGGTTGAAGGTTGGGCATGAAACATGTTAGTAATTTGGAAAGTGTAAGATGATGGTATACTTGAGAAGATCACTAGTGCATCTGGGTGCCTCGAACTAAGACTTGTAAATTTTTGTCACAACGGGGAGGTTTGTGCTTGAATTCATATATGCAAAGTAAAGATGGTAGGGTAAGAACTACCTAAAGAAAAGGTTTTGGGTCAAAGAGATATCCTAGGTTAAGTTTTAAGCTCAAGGTGGAAACAACCTAAAGCTAAATCGTAGTATTGAAGGAAGGTCTCACATATCCGTAATAATGGATTAAACTGACGTGTCATATCGTGAGTCATATCAGGGATGCTCATCAATGGTAACCAAGTGATCACTTGTGGCGACTCATCTACCTTCTACCACGATGCTCCTATTGTCACCCTTGCCGGTTTCAGAACGTTTTTCCTAGTTGTAACTCTAGTACAAAGACGATGAAGAGGTATTGAGGTAAAATTGATATTGGTGTCAACTTAAGATTGTCACCAGTGGTTCTCTCGCTGCTAACCTGGCGTCTAGAGTGTGTAGTTACCGAGGAATATTCGATCTCGCTACTAAGTGGATTGTTCCTAAAGCGGCTAGTGATATAACCTAACTTCTTAGTCTAGCACTTGATAAGGGATAAGAATATTTCTAAATAAATACATTGTGATAAAAGTGCACTTAGTTTCTAAGCATACCTATATAAATGCCTATAATATGCAATTCCCATACGCACACCGAAAAATTTTGTTTGTCAAAAGTCGAAGTTGAAAATTGTTTTGAACATAATTCTACTATAACTATTTCCAGTCTCACATTAATTTTCCTTAATTAAGCATAGTTGGCCAGGCTATACCTAATTAAATCCAATAATGCATACTCGACCTAGTTATACTAGTAGTATGTTCACTACTTTGAAAGCCGTTTTGAAATTTTTTGGCTATAGTTTGGGTTTTCCATAGGAAAATCAATATTATCTATAACCTTCGGCTCTAATACCATTCTCAATCACCCACTAAAGCAAAAACATGAGGTGCAATAGTAAAAAGGGTCTTATAATAAAAGTTTAAAGACAACACCAACCACCGTATTAAAAAGCATTACAATTTACAAATAACTTTAGAACATCTTTTAAAGAAGTTACAATACATTTGAAAACTAACAGATGTGTAATGCTTCTACAAGTGTTGTGTCTCAATGTGCCACTTACTAGATGATCTCTGAAAAGGCATGTAAAATGAACGGTTAACTACAGAAGTAGTTTGTGAGTTCACAGATTTATAGCATAACATAGTTTCAAAGCATGAAAAATAGAATATTGCTATACCAAAGGCAATTCTAATTAATTTTTTAAGGGCAATTCTAATTAATTTTTTTTTGAATTAATTCTAATTATTTTTTTTAAGGGCAATTCTAATTAATTTTTTAAGGGCAATTCTAATTAATTTTTATTCTATTCTAAACATCATTTATGTACCAAGTGGGAATTAAGCACTCAATCTCATGGAATACTGCTATACCAAAGGCCTTTTGGTTTCGAAATGGTTAGATAAACATAATTTTTTGAAATATAACTAAACCATCTATCTTTAAGAACAAATATTTGGGATGTAGGATGCCATTTAAGTTTGGTGTGTCCAAAAAACACCATCCAAGTAAAGCATTTGTACAAAAAACACCAACGAAGTACATTCTTTGTACAAATTTAACCTGGTGGTAACCGGCAATTACAGGTAAAAAATAAGTAAAGGAAAAAAAAACAAGAGGAAATGACTCAAAAGGGTAACTATGTTTCAAAATCGTTCAAAAAAACCATCCAAGTTTGGTATGTTCAAAAAACATCATCCAAGTAAACTTTGTGTACAAAAACTACCAACAAACTATATGTTTTGTTCGAATATTACCCACCGGTAACTGGCTATTACATGTTAAATGATGACTTGACTTAACTATTATGACATGGTATAATAATTATTGACAAAACAATAAATGATATATATTCCTCCTTTAAAAATCGATTTAGGGTTTCTTCATGAACGAATGACTTCTTCTTCTCCTATGATTACTTTTCTTCTTCTAAAGTGATGATCTCAAACTCAAGTCCAAAACCCTAATTCTTGACTTAAGGCAAAAAAGGCTCCTTTACCCCTGCCTCAATGGGCCCCATTTATTATCCGGTCTACAGACACGCACGTCTCTTGTCATTTCCTTGTTATTTTATTGTTCCGTACCATTTCTTTTGCATGTTTCTTGGCATATGGTTTTGATACTTGTGTACGATGTATTCAAATTTATATTCGTTCGTAACAAGCCGTGGTGTCTGTGATGCCCGTTCGTAACAAGTTATGGCCTTCAGAAGATTGGCGGTTCTTGACCCTAGCCGAGTACGTTGGGCGTACGCTAGGAGTACATCGGGCGTAATGGCTCGACATCCGGATCGCAGAGGCTTCAGCATATGTTGGGCGTATGCATAGACTTGTTTAAGTTAGGGCTCAGGCCCACCTGATTGTAGCAGGTCATTTTTTGGGCTTAAGGCCATGTTGGGTGTTCTTGGGCCATATTGGGCATTAGAGGCCTTGTAGTTGGGCTTAGATGCATTTTTGGACTTTTTATGGATTTGGGCCTTAAGGGGAGGTACCATTGAGGCAGAGGTAAAGGAGCCCTTTTTGCCTTAAGTAAATAATTAGGGTTTTGGACTTGAGTTCGAGATCATCACTTTAGAAGAAGAAGAAGAGCAATCATAGGAGAAGAAGAAGTCATTCGTTTATGAAGAAACCCTAAATCGATTTTTAAAGGAGGAATAAATCATTTATTGTTTTGTCAATAATTATTATGTCATGTCATAATAGTTAAGCCAAGTTATCATTTAACCTGTAAGAGCCAGTTACCAGTGGGTAATATTTGAACAAAACATATAGTTTGTTGGTGTTTTTTGTACAAAAAATTTACTTGGATGGTGTTTTTTGAACATACCAAACTTGGATGGTGTTTATTGAACGATTTTGAAACATAGTTACCATTTTGAATCATTTCCTATTGTATTTTTCCTTTATTTATTTTTTACCGGTAATTGCCGGTTAACATAAGGTCAAATTTGAACAAAGAACGTATTTCGTTGGTGATTTTTGTACAAATGCTTTACTTGGATGATGTTTTTTAAACACATCAAACTTGAATGGTATTTTTTGAACGATTTTGAAACATAGTTACCCATATAAGTCATTTTCCCTAAATATAAACAATTTTATGTAAATATTACTTTTGAACTTTGATTGTATTTGTACCCATTTTCAAATTCCTTCCGCTGCTTTTCACATATATCATGTAGAAACATCAAAATCATCCTAAGAAACATGTTTCTATATGTAGAGTTGTCATGTTAAAGTGTAGTCTTGCGTGCATGTTACAGGAGACAATTTTTGGAATGCGTCATCAATAAATACTAAAATTTACATTAATATTTCTTGAAGATTTCCTTAATAAAAAATTGAATTCGTTAAATTAACCAACACTCAACTATACATTAAGCATGTAAAATTTTTATGAAAGAGAAACAAGAATATATAGAATGATAGCAAGATATACCATTGGATAGAGTAGTGTCAATATCTATATATCTTTGTATCCAACAACTTAGAAATTCTTGAAATAGATGGATGTAACGAAAAGTGTAACGATATTAACAATATAAAACAAATAACACATGGTTGAAACTGAAGGGCAGATTACGTAGCAACATAAAAGTTAAATAATGTACAAGTAGTTTCCATTGTCGGACTCTTCCGCATCATGATCAAGCTGATCCCTCAACGTGATTCCAGTGGGTTGTAACTGTGTTAATGAAAAGAGTAGCTTTGCTGTCAATACGAGGATCAGCCCAATATCCAGCTCTGTCTTCATCACTTGGATACACTTTGTATGCCTTCATAGAGTCATCCCAAGTATCATCCCCTACTCCTCGTTCGCTCTTTTTAAGTTTAAAGATGCTTAAGAAAGAGAAGGACGACTTTCTCTGAGATTTGTGTCCTCCCATTTTTTTGAACTATCAGAAAACGTACAACTGGTTGAGATGGTACAAGTGATAAATCTTTGTTTGTAGTTGTTTCTACTTACACAAGTGAGTTTCTTGCTTCTAAGAGTCAGGCCCTATACAGCTTTTATAGAGGATGGCTCCTTTATTGTTGAGTCATATTGGAGTGGAAGTGAAAGAATCTTGAGACTTGATATAGACCATATATTCTATATTATTATGCACCAATACCATCTTAAGTTTAATGACTACAAAGTAGCTCACAACTTAGGTAAAGGATATTTTATGACAACCCCTCATATCATTGTTGACTAGCATGACCATTGCATTTTCCCTTTTATTAATATTTTAACTTTTTGGATTTTATTAGTTGATCTTTTAACATGAAAAATGTTTCATTATGTTTGAACTCTTTTATTAGGATTGATTATCAAGAACGAAATATAATATTAAGCCTAATTTACACTATTTTAAAATTTTTAAAAATTAAAAGGCTAGTAGGTATCTAGAATTACAAGATAACAAATAACCAATGAACAACAAAAAGAACCAAAAGGACAATATAAGGAAGCTAGATAAGGACACACTATTAAAATTATAAAAGTACTAGGCCAATTCTTTACACAGGAATAAAACTATGTTAAAATATTAAACAAACATGTGTTAAAGATAACTAATTAACTATTTCATCTTTGTTTATATTTTAACAAGCATTAGTTATTGGGTCTTGTCTATGTGTTTTTTTCATTTGTTACTCATGCTAGCTTATTGAAGAGGTGACATAATATTATGCGGTACTCCTAAATTATTTGTGTTCTTGTACATGCTGTTTCGTAAAAAGGAGCTGCTTTTCATGCGTTTAATGTTGGGCCATCTAATCGCGGATGGATGGTAGCTCACAACGTGATGTGTTGATTCTTTTCTCAAGTTGATCTATGGGACATGGCCGACAACATGATATCCTATTATTAGCATTCTTTCTTTTCTGTTGGCTAATTCTTACCAAGGCAAAAGTGCTAACATGTCATGTCCCATGAATGACAATGTCCTAGAAAAATAATGACATTTTTCTTCTTCGTTCTTCTATTCCTTTTCGTATTTGAAGGAAAAAAATGAGGTGTAATTGAGTGAAAGTACATCACAAATTAACGGCCTTCGTGTAAACCTGCAGTAAAAAACTAATGGCACTCGTCAATCAGTGTATGATTGCTTTGTAAGTTATAAAAACTTAGTTCAATCATATGGTTAATGTCAAATAATTAATAAATTAACGAGGTCATTTCTCTTAGGAACACGAGGGTAACTATCTAAAAATTATTTAAAGTTTCTACTACACTCATTCCCTACCAACTTAAACCAAGAATCTTTGACAACTTCTAGTTAATTTGACCTAATTCTTGAAAATGCTTTTGGCCTTTGTAGTGCTTTACTAATATTAAGTTCTATTGAAAAATAAAAAGAATTCAACTGATGATTCCCTACGATCGACTAATAACCAAAGTGAATAACTCCAAAACAAGAAGTTCCTCAATGTCTTTTCAGCCATGGAATTATGGCATTTAGTTGTTAATTATTGCAAATTCTCCCTTTGCTGGTTGATTTTCCTTTTGTCTTAGATTGGTCGAAATTGTCTGAACTTTGAACAGAGGTTTACTGCCTAAAAGTAAATTAGTTGTTCCATTGTGAGCTGTCTTGAACAATGAATGGTTTTTAGCCTACCAACTCTCTCCACCTTCCACTTTCCTTCAATTTTTTTAGTGCGGCATCTACAGTTGCTTCCTTGTCAATATTTCCTCTTTAACCTTTTGAAGCTAAGTTTTCCTTTGCACTGAAAGAAGAAGAATCAAAAAGCATTTCAAAGCATCGAAATGGCATAAAAAAGCTTTCCTTTTTTCATGTAAATTAAGAACAAATGTGGGAAAGCAGCTTTGTTTCTACTTTTGTTGTACTTTTTTTAATGCTCTAGGATTCAGATACTTCGACTTCGTACGTTTAGTGGATAGGATTTAACTTGGATTTCATTAATTGTACAAAACACATTTTATTTTAATAAAAAAAACAAGCTTTTTAATAATTTTTAAAGTTCCCAATATCATGATTGTAAGCAGGGGTGTCCCGTAGATTTTGAGGGCCTCTGCCAACAATAAAAATAGGCTCATATAGATATAGAGATATATAGATATCTAGATATATATATAGATATATATATATATATATATATATATATAGAATATATATATATATATATATATATATATATATATCTATATATACTACGATATGCCGATAAATGTTATAAAAACAATCAAAACAAAAAAATATATATTATATTATCTTACATAGTTATATGAATCACGAGATTGTCATAATATTATTGAAAGTAAAAATGTTCACAAACTCTTTATAGTCAATACTATTTGTTATATCGTTCTCAATATATATCATTACCAATTCATTAAAAAAATTTGTGACAATGTGGACAATAAGTATGACTTTAACTAGAAACTATGACAAACATATAGAATACACGATTGTAATACCCGTGAATTCGGATTAGACGTTTTGAACTTCAAATATGTTATAAAAGACTTATTTATATTTAAATTAAATATAAGGATTTAATTAATATATATAGAAAGTTTTAAAATTAAATAGATGGGTGTTAAATGTCATATAAAAAACAAATTTGCTAATGAAATTGATTAAAATAATACAAATGCATATTTGGATATTTTAGGGTGTGAGTATGTAAAATAAGGAAACCACAAAAAAAACTGAAAATAAGATACAGGGTTTGGTAGAAAAAAGATACAACATTCCAGGGACCATTAATGTAACTTCAATAGCAAATTAGTATTCCTGTGTTGGGAAATAAATAAAAACTAAAAAAAAATAAAAAGCTTTGTGAGGTGTATAAGACTCGAACACATAGTACTTCGGCGGAGAAAGATGTAACATGCGCCACATTTCCATATCTACTATCAAACAGTTTTCTTTAGGTTTAGATAAAATGTTATATATTGTATATTAAGAATATAATTTTGTTAAAAATCGAGATCCTATAATTTTCGGGGCCCTGTACGGTTGCACCTCCGGCACCTGTTCTAGGCCGCTCATGATTGTAAGATTGGATCGTAATCGAAAGATCATACTAAAATGAACTCATATTTAAGTTTGTTTGTAAGGTATTGAGTGTGTAATATAAGTAATAACTTGATGTTCATGAAGAGATAGTGAAAAAACAAGAATGAATTCGCTTGAATCTCCGGTAAGATAATATATATATATATATATATATATATATATATATATATATATATAAGTTATACAACAACTTATTGATAAATACAATTGATCTAATCTAGTTATCTATTTTCCTTTTGACTTTTATTTATAACCCTTTTGTTTACATTCCCCCTCAATTTTAACTGTTACAAGATTAAGATTATACTTCATCCGATCCAACGTATCACAAGTAATTGGTTTGGTAAATCCATCAGCTATCTCATCATTAGTAGCGATAAATCGAACATCAAGAGCATCCATCGCCACTTTCTCTCTAACAAAGTGAAAATCGATTCAAATGAGTTTTGTTCTTACATGGAACACATGATTCGTTGTTAGGTAGGTGGCACCTAAATTATCACATCATAAAACTCGTGGTCTTGGTTGACAAACTCCAAGTTCCTTGAGTAATGATTGCACCCATATTACTTCAATTATACCATTAGCAAATGCTTTATATTCTGCTTTTGTACTTGAATGAGATATTGTAGGTTGTTTGCGAAAACTCCATGAGACCAAATTTGGACCTAAGAACACATCAAATCCTTCAGTAAACCTGCGATAATCTAAGCAACCAGCCCAAACTGCATCCGTAAAGACACTACGTAGTGTAGAATCATATTTCTGAATACTAAGTCAAGTGTTAACTGTGCCCTTTATATACCTAAGTATACGTTTCACTGCCTCCTAATGTATGTTTGTAGGTTTGGAAAGATACTAACAGACCTAGTTGACTACAAACGAAATATTAGGTCGAGTTAAGGTAAGGTAGTATAGACCTCCAACCATGCTCCTATACTTGAAAACATCATCATCAGTTAGTAGTTTACCATAATCCTTCGTAAAGTTATATGTGACATACATAGGGGTTGATACACCTCTTACAATTCTCCATGTTAGCTCGATGAATGAGATCAAATGCATACTTTTGTTGAAATAATGTAATCCCCTTGAATTGTGAGTGACTTCAATCCCAAGGAAATACTTGATGCGGCTAAGGTCTTTGGTTGGAAAAAACAAGGAAATATTGCTCATAAGTTGATGCACATGAATTTTAGAGGAGCCAGTAATCACGATGTCATCTACATAAAATAACATGTAGATGGTGTGTTGTCCATGATGGAACACATATAAAGAAGTGTCAGCCTTAGATTAGCGGAAGCCAAGATGATACAATTTTTCACTAAGGTGAGATAACCATGCCCTTGGTGATTGTTTAAGACTATAGGTAGCCTTTCGAAGTTTACACACATAATCAGGATGTTGATAGTCTTCAAATTCGGGAGGTTGTTTCATATAAACATCCTCATTTAAAAACTCATGGAAGAAGACATTATTAACATCAATCTGTTGTAGATGACAGTTTTTAGAGACGTCAAGAGCAAGGTCTAATCGAATCGTGGCTAGTTTGACCACCGGACTAATGGTATCTTGATAATAAATGCCTTATTTGTGAGTAAACCAAACCACAAGCAACCAAGTGTGCCTTATGTTTATCAAGAGAGCCATCAGGATTAAGCTTGCTTTAAAAATCCATTTACACCCGACTATGTTTTCCCTATGTGGTTTGGGTACTAGCAACGACCTGGTGTTATTTTTATGTAAGGCTGCAAATTTGTCTTCCATAGCACTACGCCACTTAGGCTCAGCAAGGTCAAGTTGATGAGATCTAGGCTCAACAGAAAAAGCACGTCAATTCAGATTATAAAGTATTGTCCTGTAACATCCCGATTTCTGAGAATGAGATTTAGGGATTTCATGCATTTAAAGAAGTCTACTCGACGAGTTAAAGGCCCCAACTCGTTGTGTAGAGTTTTAGTCAGCCAGCGTGATTTATGATTCCTACTCGACGAGTCGATGGAGCCCGAATCGACGAGTAGAGTATGTGCATAGAAACCCTAATTTTTAGGGTTTGCACCCTATTTAAAGGATCTTAAGTCCTTTCCTTC